AGATTAATATGATAGACGATATACATATTTATACTGCGTTGTTGATAAATACAATTTCTATTAGGAAGAAACAATACGAAAATATTTATTAATATAATATGTAATTTAAATTCAAAACTATTAAAATAGTTAAAAAAATATTTCTTAAAAATGAAAAAGAATACGAAAAGATTAATTAATATATATTTTTGGGTGTATGTATAACTATATTCGTGCTTTTTGAGATGGCATAGCATGACATGTGGTCACCACCCATTATAATGTGTTTTCATTTATATTGACCATGAAATGCCACGGGTTGACAAATCAATATTTATTTGTGCGCGAAGGCATTTCCTTTGATCAAACAGAAACATGCCATGCGCAATGCGCTGAACCCACGTGTTGACAGAAGGCCAAACAAACGACTTACCTTGTATGGTTTGAGCAGCTGACGCAGTTCACCAGACTCATTCAGCCGTTCCACAGTGTCAGCATCCTGCAAACAAAAAATAAAAAGAAATAAAAATACATGAATAAATAACGATAACACGCGCGGTTAGGCGACAAAGCTGTTGTTATATTATACATAAATACAAATGCACTAACAAAAGACTTAAGAAGGAAACTTGCTTGCGATGGTTGGCAACTCTTCGCTTGCGTGACGCTTTGCAGCTGATATTTTCGTAGAAATAAAAATAAAATTTTCCATTGCCATAAAGACGATAGAAAATTATGTTATCTACGTCAAATGTTGGCAACATGTTTTTATATGTTTTTTTTATTTTATATATGTATTTTGCTTTAATTTATCGCTTCAAAGCGGCATAGCCAGCTACATACATATAAAAATATTACACAGATGAAGCAAGCCTTTTTCGTAAACTGTTGATTTGTATGTGCAACGTGCATAATTATACGCACACAAATATATGTATATAAATATGTGCTTACATATGTACATATGTATATGTAAATGATCATTCAATTTTGTTTAAAATTCTGTCGATTTATGTGTGTGAATAAATTAATGCTACGCATATAATTACCATACGCTCATTAAATTACACCACACGCATCTTTCTTTACGTAATCAAATAAAAAAGTGAAAAGACAAAGAGAAATGGGAAATATTGGTGTTTATGGGAGCTTTCGCAATGTTTAATTGAGTTTCAACAAAGTCATGTAATTCCAACGTAATAACTGTTTTATGTGAGAAAAATAATATTACAAATGTTTTAAGTAAATTATGATGTTTTGATGCTATACGTCAAAGAACTGGTAAGAGAAGTGCATATAATGTACTCATTTGTAGGGTGAGTAACCACTAATCTATCGAGTTAATACTTGGGTTAAAATGAACCAAACAATACGACCAGATACTTCACTCCTGCTTCCTCACAAGAAGTAGTGTTAAATCACAACTACTTAGAGCCCATGCAAAGTTACAATTTCTTTAAATAATCGAGTCTCCAAACTTTTCTCATAATAATTAGGTTGCTGCTCGTACTGTGTAGCACGTAGCCTCCTGTTCTTGGAATAAAAATGAGATATTTTGATAAAACTTGGTACGCATGTTCTCTGGCATCCATTGCCAAAGTGGGCATGACGCCACCCTCTAATAGATTTAATAAGCGTGACTCAGAAGAGAACTTGCTGAAAAGGAAATGTATTATCAATTTCCTAATGCACGCATATAACGGATGGACGAAAAGTCGAAATCGGCTCATAGCTTTTCAAGTCAACAGACACCGAACAAGTTGATCTCAGTGCCTACAACTGATTTCTTTGCGAAAATATCGGTAAAAACTATTGGGAGAAAATGGGGAGGAAAATTTTTCTGCTTATAATTATTCACAATTCAAAAATCAGAAGAAATAATTATTACTAGGGAGATGAATACAGATATCGGCGGACTAGTAAAAATTTTTATTTTTGAAAAAATTCGGTTTTCTTGGAAAAATTCACACTGTCGTGTCACGCGTTGCAAAAATCACTTAAGACGGCACAAAAATTAGAATCGTGTGAGGTGGCGGAACCTTATGAAAGCTCCATACTACTACAGGTGACGGCTTTTCAAGATGATTGACAGCAAACGTATTAAATGAAGAAACCAGTTTTGTTTTTATCAATAAACCCAAAAGTAAAGTATTATTTAACGTTTCAAATATTAAAAAAGGAATGATCGGAACTTCTTAAACATTAAAAATCTTTGGTATACATAGAAACAGAATTTATTTAAATAGAGTTACCAATCAAAAATTCTAAAATAATTAAACTTAGAACAGCAAATAATGAACACATGTCTCATATTCGATATAATTATAACGGGTCATCTCGACTCGAGAATTTATAGAATACTATCTGTATTGCAGTCCCGATTGCATTTGGAGACTCCACATTGCTCATAGCTTACTATATGTGACCTGGTCTACGAAAAGGGAGCTAAAGTGCGAAAACTAATTTTTTGGGAAACAGCTGTTAAAAATAAACAACTCGCTTCGTCAGTTTCTAGTTATCTCATTAATTGTTCTCCTTTCTAGAGGCTTCAAGGACGTCCAGTAAGTGTTGTTTTTGGTCGGAATATTATTATAGTACATCGTGTAAGTTGCTAGTGTGGAACATTTAAAAAAGTAACACTAAATATAATGACTTATAATTCAATGTGTTTTGTTCATTACAAAAAAATTATATTTTTTCGTATTTTAACTCTTCTTTCTCTACATTTTTAGGGAACTTTCAAACAAGTTATGACTTTTTGGATTCTATCGCGTGAAAAAGCTTCTCATCTTCCATCCGAATCAACTAAAAAGTGAAAATTGATTTTTTGACACCTAAGCCCCCTTTCCGTAGACCAGGTCACATATATAGAAATAGTAATCTAGTTTGCCATATATCGTAAGCTATCAGCTGTCACTTCAACCGTTTGGCAGCGAAGTTTTCATTTCTAAGAAAATTTCGAAGAGGCAACATATCCCATTTGCACATATGCCGACGACATTTTCATTTCGGTAATATGAAATTTAGAAGAGCGAGTATTAAGACGGATGTGTTATATTATAAACATAAAGTTTATTTTCAAAATAACATTTTCCCAAAAAATTAATATTGTTAATTTACAGAAAAATTATGCAAATTGGGTTGGGAATGACCGACGTCTTAAATTTAATAAACTTATACAAGCATAAATCCAAATATCATTGCTCATTTTAAATTTATTATTATAATTGATATACAAAACTTATGCCGCATTTTTATATATTAGTCCAAAATATGACTACTTATGTTTTTTTCCCAGAAATACATTTATAAAAAAGGATCTTTCTCTTCTTTATTTTCCACATAAAAGATGAAAACAGTTCAAGAGCTCAAAGCATCAGCTCGAACCTACCTATTCTACGCCTTGCGCAAATGATTATATCATGTTAGCAAATGTCCACATAAAAATTTGGCAATGGCAATAGCAATACGTTTGACAGTTAGTATTCTATAAATTCTATCCTGTCGAGATGCCCCGTAACGTACAAGTGTTTCTGTGTGTTAAGCAAAATGGGTATCGATGCTTGGTTAAGAACTTAGATAGTATATATCAAATCTCTCAACTTAGGAATATATTAGTTTTTTTTTATGTTTTCTACTTTATTTTTCCGAATTAAATTATTCAAATTTAAACTTATTGCCCAAAAATAAAATTTAATATGGTTCCTTCAGTAATTATCTAAAACGACATTCGATTTATTGCCTATATTAACAGCAATTTATTTTTTCATAAATAATAAATATTAAAAATATGTTTGATTAATTTTTGTTTGTAATAAAAAAATTGGCTTCTTGTAAATAAAAATATCTTCATAATTGCCTTTTAAGTAAACAATTTGAGGTCTCGTTAGAATTACATACAGACATGACGGTATGTACATACCTATACATATGTATGTATACTCAGTTATGGAAAGAAATCACTTGTACAAGTAATCGGCAATTTCACTTTCCTCGTGAGTAAATTACGAGATGACGAACACTTGCTTTCACAGCCATCGATTGTTTTCGCCGTTTGTTGTAACAATATACAGTATATATATACATATGAATGTATGTAATTACACAGCTACTGCTAAATATTGGCCATGATAATGGCAGTGAGAGGTACGGGCAGACAGTGCGGCATGAGGATAATTGCAACTCTTTTTATTAAAAAAATATACATACGTTCATACATATGTACATGTGTGCTATGGTCCACATAACAAGTTTAAAATGCACGCGCAACTGTATTGAATGTTTTTTTATGATTTCATTAATTATACTCTTGCAACAAAGTTGCTAAAGAGAGTATTATAGTTTTGTTCAAATAACGGTTGTTTGTGAGTCTTAAAACTAAAAGAGTCAGATATAGGGTTATATATACCAAAGTGATCAGGTTGACGAGTAGAGTTGAAATCCGGATGTCTGTCTGTCCGCCCTTGCAAGCTGTAACTTGAGTAAAAATTAAGATATCATGATGAAACTTGGTACACGTATTTCCTGGCTCCATAAGAAGGTTAAGTTCGAAGATGGGCAAAACCGGCCCACTGCCACGCCCACAAAATGGCGGAAATCGAAAACCTATAAAGTGTCATAACTAAGCCATAAATAAAAATATTAAAATAAAATTTGGCTCAAAGACTCGCATTAGGGAGGGGCGTATTTGGACGTAATTTTTTTGGAAAAGTGGGTTGGGCCGAAAAAGACCCAAAGACTCGCATTAGGGAGGGGCATATTTGGACGTAATTTTTTTGGAAAAGTGGGTTGGGCCCCGCCCCCTACTAACTTTTTTGTACTTATCTCGAAAACTACTACAGCT